TACAGGGAATTTCAAAGCCAATCTCCAACGTGCTTGATTCCCATTGCCTCAATGTGCTTGTTGTGTTTCACTTGAGGCAGAGGTTTAGTCAAAGGATCGGCCACATTATCATCCGTTCCGATCTTACAAATTCTGATTTAACCTTAGGATTTCCATTCCCTTATCATGTGAAATCGCCTCTGGACATGTTTGACCTTCTGGTGCTCTCTTGGCTCTCTAGCTTGAGTGATAGCTCCGTTGTTGTCACAGTAGAGATCTATCGGACCCTTGATGGAGGGTACAACACTAAGTTCACTGACGAACTTGTGAATCCAAACAACCTCCTTAGAGGCTTCTGAAGCAGCCAAGTATTCGGCTTCAGTTGTAGAATCTGCAGTGGTGCTTTGCTTGGCACTGCTCCAGCTAAACGCTCCTCCATTTAGGCAAATATATACCCTGGCTGTGACTTGAAGTCGTCTCTGACAGTCTGGAAGCTAGCGTCGGTGTAACCTTCAACAACTAGGTCTTTGTGGCCACCATAAACCATGAATTTATCCTTGTTCCTTTTCAGGTACTTCAGGATATTCTTGGCTGCAGTCCAATGCGCCTCTCCTGGGTTTGATTGGTATCGGCTCGTAGCGCTTAAAGCATACGATACATCTGGTCTGGTACATATCATGGCATACATGATCGACCCAATTAGCGAAGCATATGGAATCTGATCCATTCTCTCTCGTCAACAGGTGTTTGTGGACACCGTTTCTTGTTGAGAGTTATGCCATGGGACATGGGTAGGTACCTTCTTTTAGCATTCTCCATGTTGAATCGTGCCAGTACTATATCAATGTAAGTACTATGGCTCAATCCAATCATCCTCTTAGATCTATCCCTATAGATCTTGATGCCCAATATGTATTGTGCCTCTCCTAAGTCCTTCATTGAAAAACACTTTCCTAACCAGCCCTTTACGGACTCTAGTAATTTTGTGCTGTTTCCAATGAGCAGTTTGTCATCGACATATAGGACTAGGAATGCGATGTCACTCCCACTGACCTTCTTGTAGACACAAGACTCTTCTGGATTCTTGATAAAACCAAACTTGCTGATGGCTTCATCATATCGCAGATTCCAACTTCTGCTTGCCTACTTTAATCCATAAATGGACTTCTTTATCTTGCATACCTTTCTAGCGTTGCTTGGATCTACAAAACCTTCTGGTTGTGTCATATACACAGTTTCTTCCAAAATCTCATTTAGGAAGGCGGTTTTGACATCCATCTGCCATATTTCATAATCGTATATGCAGCAATCGCCTGGATAATCCGGACAGACTTTAGCATTGCAATCGGTGAAAAAGTTTCATCATAGTCAATCCCATGGATTTGTCTATAACCTTTTGCCACCAGTCTAGCTTTGTATATTGATACATTTCCATCTTTGTCTGTCTTCAATTTAAAGATCCATTTGCAACCAATGGGTGTGCAACCTTCGGGAAAATTCACCAAGTCCCAGACTTGATTTTCAGACATGGAGTCCATCTAGGATTTCATGGCCTCTTGCCATTTAGCAGAGTCGGGGCTCGTCATAGCTTGTTTGTATGATGCTGGCTCATCACCATCCATAACTAGGATGTCCAGATCATCGGTTAAGACAATACCAAGGTATCTGTCTGGTTAGGATCTTGGCCGTTGCGACCTACGAAGGGTAATGGGTTGAGCATTTACATTGTCTGTTTGATTTTGACCAATCTTCTCAGCTGCTTCCAAAGCACTTAGATTGTCAGTTTTATCAGGTTGACATTGTTGCTCGTCCTCTCGAACTTCGTCGAGTTCGATTTTCCTCCCACTTGTCATTTTGGAAAGGTGTTCCTTCTCCAAAAAGACACCATCACGAGCAACAAACACTTTGTTCTCGGATTTATTGTAGAAGTAATATCCTTTGGTTTCTTTTGGGTATCCCACAAAGAAACACTTATCTGATTTGGGGTGAAGTTTGTCCGAAATTAATCGTTTGACATATGCTTCGCATCCCCAAATCTTCAGAAAAGACAACCTAGGAGGTTTCTTAGTCCATAATTCATATGGAGTCTTTTCAACAGCTTTTGACGGAGCTCGATTCAGTGTTAGTGCCGCGGTTTGTAGCGCATGTCCCCAGAAAGAGATAGGAAGTTCACTAAGACCCATCATTGATCGAACCATGTCTAACAAGGTTCGATTCCTCCGTTCGGACACTTCGTTCCATTGAGGAGTTCCGGGAGGTGTCAGCTCTGAAAGAATACCTTTTTCTTTCAAGTGATCGTCGAATTCATGGCTCAAATATTCGGCACCTCGATCCGATCGAAGTGCTTTAATTTTCTTGCCAAGTTGATTCTCAACTTCTTTCTGAAATTCTTTGAATTTCTCAAAAGATTCAGATTTATTCGACATTAGGTAGATATAGTCATATCGAAGGTAAATTCTTAGGGTTCTTAGTTTAAGTAGTGGTATCAACTTTTGTCTAATCATATGTCAAAATCATGCAATTTTCATTGAACATATATTTGCAAGACAATTTTGAAACAACCATTGTCAAAGTCTTAAATTCAAAATAACTAGGTGTCCAACACCATAGATCATAGTATGTTCAAAAGCATGATGAAACTAAGATTAGTTTAATTACATGTCATAGACAAAATAGTGCATGCAAGCACGACCGATAAACCATCTTCGTCGTCTACTTGTCCTTGCACGAACACTTGATAAGCTTCTCACTTGGTCCCCGAAAAGGCAACATAAAGTGAGTCATACTTGGTATCTAATACCTATGATAAGCTTAATTCACAAGTGTTTACGGAAGATACCTGAGGCAGATGCTACATTCCTCTCCTCCACCTCCCGGAAGAGCTTGCATTCTCTCTTGTAGTGGCCTTGCCCACCACAATAGAAGCAACGCATCTTTGCCTTGACCTTCTTGAACTCCCTTCTCCTTGCTCTCAAGGGCCTCTCGGTCACTCCACAGGCGGTGGCTCGACTAAGTAGTTGCACCACTTCTATTAAGGAGTGTGTCTCCTTTCCCGCAGCTATATGCACTCTAAGTGCATCATAGCCCAAGTGGAGTGAAGCAAGCAAGATATGCCAAGCCATCTCATCCTCCAATGAGATTCCGAGAAGTTGCATGTGTTTGAAGAGCCTAGTCATTCCAAGCACATGAGGTCGGAGGGGCATGCCGGGTCTCAATTTGGCATTGTAGACCTTTGTCCATAGCCGGCGCCTTTCCTTAGCAAGACAACCCACATTTGGTGGCTTTATCTTCATGTTTGAGAGTGACCTAGTCAAATCAAACACGAGTCCATCATAGTTTCCATTGTCACTCTTGGTGACTCTTACATTGACAACGTCCTCAAGGGCTTTGAGGAACATGTCCGGAAGGTAGGAGGAAAGGCTTTCCTTCCAATCTTTCGGGATGGAATTAGCCATAAGTCGTGAGACTTTCTTGCAGTTGGAAGACCATTCTTCATGAGCCTCATCGGTCATGATCCCCTTAGAGAAGAAGCTTGGAATGGGAGTGTCAAGAGTGTAATCCAAGGAACAATTCCGAAGAGTTTTCCTGAGTTCCTCCTCCCACTCCTTGAAGTTTACCAAGTTTAGGCAAAATGCCAACTTGTTGGGGAGTTCCGGACACATAGGGTTGTTGTTTGAGTTACTTACAGACATCACTAGTAGAAAAAACTTAATAGGCACCCCCCCTATAGCACCGGTTCTTGAAAACCGGTGCCAAAATTAATGGGCGGGACTTAAAAATTCATAGTTGGCACCGGTTCTGAATTAAACCGGTGCCAACTACACAATTTAGCACCGGTTCAAACCGGTGCCAACTGTTTTAAAAAAAAATAAAAAATTAAGAAGGTTAGAGTTGGCACCGGTTTAAAGCGAACCGGTGCCAAATACGCTGATTAGCACCGGTTCAAACCGGTGCCAACTGTTTTTTTTTTAAAAAAAAAAGGAAAAAGGCTAGAGTTGGCATTTAAAAAAAAATAAACCCGGGTTTTTTAGGGTCCTGTACACATGCAGTTCAATTCGTTCTTCAATTCATATTATTTGCTAATTAAGGCGCCTTTCTTGTTCATCCTCTTCTCTTCTCTTCTCCTATTCCTTCTCCATTTAAGCAGTTCAATTCGTTCTTCATTGAAGCAGTTCAATTCGTTCTTCATTGAAGCAGCTAGTTCTTCGTTCTTCAATTTGTGGTGCGACATTCTCACCTCCATTGAAGCAGCTAGTTCGTCGCATTGCCCCCCCTCCATTGAAGCAACTCCAGCCATATAACTATCTCCATTGAAACGGCTTCAAGCTAAGGTATGTTTTACTTATATGAAGTTTTTGGTGCATTTTTTTTTACAATTTAGTAATTATATGGCCGTTGTAATCTAGGGTATGTGAATATACACTCGCATTGCCGCCGCCCCCTCCACGTACAACAACCTTCTTGCTCGCTCTCATTGTGGGTCTAAGGCGCCATTTCAGGTAATTGAGAAGATTGTGTGATGTTTTGTGGTTTCTCAGGCAACATAGAATGGGCATGAATCCTTGTTTGGTTGATTAATTTTGATTCTGTTTGTGCAATGATGGGGTACAATGGTACTAAAAAATCAGGTTTTTAATCACTGAAAGTTAGAAAGGAGCAGCGAAAACTAAGCCAAAAAAATAAACTCAGTAGCTGTAACAACAATACAATACTGAAGAAGAATCTAATTTATTTTCAGATACAAATACAGAAAGAAGTTAGGCATAGAGTCTGCAAGAGGAGGCTGGGAAAAAATCAGGATGGGAATTCATTGTTGCTGATGCAATTAACAAGCTAATTCACTCGATGAATTATATATTTTTTAATTTAATTATCTAATGCCAATGTCTAACAGATGCAACACAAAGGGACTAAAAAAGTAAGATTCAGTAACATATGAGCATGTTTGGTATAGTAATCAATTAATCGTTTCCATTACCTATTGTTTGGTATGAGAGGTGTTTTCATTACCTGTGGGTTGATATGAGATGTGTGGTAAGTTGGTAACACATTTCATTTCCAGCCTATCTTATTTTGGTTAAAACACAATGAAGATAAAAAATGAGAAGCACAAGAGGAGAGTACTGACAATTGAATTTCTTTTTAGGAACTTTACCCTGATTGAGAGTGTACAGGTAGTTTTTGACAGTTTCAGCATTGAATCTTGCAGTGTACTGCATTACAAATCCCACCAACATTAATTAAATTTAAAACAAGAAGACATGGAATAGTAAGTTAACAAGTCAAGAGAAGGAGAAAGAGCACCTGTACAACCACCACATAGTACTTTGAATTATACCGGTTGCTACAATCAACAACGTCAGACTGGGCTTGAGTATTCACCTGAACCAATAATATTTCATAATTCCAGATTAAATAAGCTACTGTCTGTTTCCAAAATCAAAAACCCCGCAAAGTCAAATTATCCGTTATAACCATGAATCATTCCATAATATACAGTACACTAAAGCAATTGCAAATTATCAATTGAATGAAATAAAATGATAAGATGAATAAATAAGGAGTGTTACCAAAACAATGCTTTTACAAAGATGAATAAATAAGGGGTGGTTTTTAGGTGGTTGTTTGCCTTTTTGGGATTGTGTAGTTTGGAGGGTTACTTCTTAGTGTTGTAACTTTGTAACCTGCGTTTTTGGTAATAATATATTCTTACTTGCCAAAAAAATAAAAAATAAAAAAAAATTGTTTCTCATACATTTATTTAATCTCTCGTTTGTTTCACATTTGATTGCTAACTTTAGAGAATCTCTCGTTCTCTTTAATCATATGCCCCTATTTGTGTTTATTATCCATTTCTCATACATACTTACTAATAACTTTTAGTTTGTTTTTTCTTTTTATAGGTTCATATGTGAATTGAAGTTCAAGTGTAGTTTGAAGACTACACATTAATTTAGCTCAACTGGGAAGTTACAAAGAATACATCTATTGTGTTGGTATGAATTATAAACTTTTCTAAGCTATAAATATTTGTTTCTCTCTATTATTATTTTAATAAACGTTTTTTCACGCTAGCTATTAGATTCGTGTATTATATAATGACAAACTAAATACAACATTAAATATATGAAATGTTTGCATCATCATATGCCTAGATACCCGTTCAAGGCTTTCTCATTAGGAGAAAGTCTTGAATAGTCCCCGGTTGGGACTGTTCTTGAACGTTTACTCTCACTTAGGTGGTGAATGTATGTCTATTTTTTTTCGATTTTAAGGGACATCTTGGCTTACCATTTCCTCGAACACCATGTTCTCTGGGTACATATGTGGGTAACTTATTACCTACATCGTGTACTTGGAGAACTGGGGGGAAATGCTGCCGGGTTTTCCTTAAAATTGGAAATTCGACATATATTCACTAGTGAGAGTAAACGTTCAAGGATGGGTTAGGTTGGAGTGATAAGGACCCTTTGGAAGCATATATGCATTTTTGTATCTATATGAATGTTATATGCATGTTGTATGTTTGAATTTGATTTACATATATAATAGATGGTAGCAATTATACATGATTCGTAATATGTTGCCATGTTTAGAGACAATTTACCTAATGGAGAAGGATCGTGGCTGGATGTATGGTAGACGTGATACATTGGAATTCTTTAATGGGGTTCAAGAGTTTTGCGAGAGGGCTTCATCTTACAAGCGCAGAATGGGTTTCGATTGCCTCTATTGTCCTTGTGTTGATTGTAATAATGTGAAGGTGGTCAATAGTGTTGCTATCATTAGAGATCATGTAGTTTGTCGTGGGTTTAGGCTTAAATACCATGTGTGGATTTGGCACGGTGAAGAAGGAGAATACAGTGGGGATGTTATTGGGAATGATGTGCATGATGATAGAAGCAATGACATTTGTGTGGATGAGGAGTACAAGAATAATGATGAACATATTGTTGATCATGGTGCTGAGGATGGATTTGAGGATGATCATGTGGATGAGGTCGAGGATGAAGGGGTGGATGAGATGATGCGTGGTTTTGAAGGGGGCGTGTTTGAGTCATTATCGGAGGCTTCTAAAAGCCTTTGTATCCTGGGTGCAAAAAATACTCTAAACTATCCGCCGTGCTAACACTTTTTAACATTAAGTCGAAGCATGGGTGGACGGACAGTAGTTTTACTTCTTTGTTGAGCGCGTTAAGTGAGATGTTGCCCGACGGGAATGAAATTCCTAAGTCTTACTATTACGCTAAGAAGCTCATGTGTCCATTTGGTTTGGAGTATAAGAAGATACATGCATGTCCTAATGATTGTATTCTTTATCGAAATGAATATGAAAAATTGGAGGAGTGTCCACGTTGTAAGAAGTCGCGCTACAAGCGCATGAGTTGCAATGCTGGTAAGCAGGGACCGCCTGCTAAGGTGTTGTGGTATCTTCCCATTATTCCAAGGTTTAAGCGTCTATTCTCAACACCAGCAGTCGCTAAAAACTTGAGGTGGCATGCAGAGGGAAGAAAGAAAAACAGAATGCTGAAGCACCCAGCCGACTCCCCGCAATGGAAGAACCTTGATATGAAGTTCGGGGAATTTGGTGATGAAGTCAGAAATTTAAGGCTTGGTTTGTGCACGGACGGGATGAATCCATTTGGCACTCTTAGTACCCAGCACCAGCACATGGCCGGTACTTTTAGTGATCTACAATTTGCCTCCTTGGTTGTGCATGAAACGGAAATATGTAATGCTTTCACTCTTGATATCGGGGCCAAGGCAACCTGGAAACGACATAGATGTTTATCTTGCGCCCCTTGTTGATGATTTGAGAAAGATGTGGGACGAAGGGGTTTCTGTTTTTGATGCTCATAAGAATGAGATGTTCACATTGCGTGCAACTCTTATGTGGACCGTTAATGATTTTCCTGCGTATGGAAACTTGTCCGGGTATAAGAACAAAGAGGTGTACTTGCGCACCCGAAGGTTGCTCAGGCGCGATCACCCGTACCGTAGGCAGAAAAAGGCTTTTGATGGGACAGTGGAAGAGGGGACTGCTCCTAGGCCGTTGACTGGTGAGAAGGTTTACGCTCGAGTAAAGGGTGTACGAACAGTGTTTGGGAAATCAGAAAAAGCGGCGGAGTCAACTTCTCTCTTTAAAAAAGAATCAATCTTTTGGTTGCTCCCGTACTGGAAAGAACATGACGTTAGGCACTGTCTTGATGTAATGCATATAGAGAAGAATGTGTGTGATGCTCTTGTGGGAACGCTGATGAATATTCAAAACAAGACAAAGGACGGAAAGGGTGCACGGGACGATTTGAAAAAGATGGGGGTTCGTCCAGAATTGTGGGTTCAGCAAAGGGTTAGTAAGAGAAAGGAACAGGAAATGGAAAAGGAATTGAGTTCGAAAACAGGAAAGGGGAAGAGCAAGGGAAAGGGAAAGGCCATGGATGCGTCGAACAAGAAAAATGAGGGAAAAGCCACTTCAGGCAAGGCCTATTTACCTCCAGCTTGCTACACATTGTCAAGGGTAGAAAAACGGATGTTTTGTGCATGTCTGTATGGCATTAAGGTTCCATCAGGGTACGCATCTAACATGAAAAGATTTGTATCCTTAAATGGAGAATTGAAGCTGACAAGTATGAAATCCCATGATTGTCATGTTCTGATGCAAGTTTTCCTACCAATTGCAATACGTGGTATTTTACCAAAGCACGTGCGGGAAGCTATTACAAGCCTCTGTTCGTTTTTCAATACACTATGCAGCAAAGTGCTTGATCCTTGTACACTTGATGCTTTACAGGCGGATGTGGTTGTGACTTTGTGCAAATTTGAGATGTACTTCCCACCCTCGTTTTTCGACATAATGGTGCATTTGATTCTTCATTTGGTGCGTGAGATTAAGTTATGCGGTCCAGTGTTCATGCGGTGGTGCTATCCTTTTGAAAGACACATGGGTACATTGCAAGATAAAGTCAGGAATCGGGCTCACCCGGAAGGAAGTATGATTCAAGGGACCGTGGCTGAGGAGGTCGGTAATTTTGTGGCCGACTATATAGCAGTTGCTAAACCTATTGGTATTCCTACTTCTCGACACGAAGGGAGACTTGATGGTCATGGCACAATCGGGTCGAAACGAATGTCACCTGATCGAGATAAGTTCTTCCAAGCGCACCTATATGTGTTGCACCATGTTGCAGATGTTCACCCATATTTAGACGAGCACATGGCTAGTTTGCGTGATGAATTTCCATCGAAAGGTGAACGGGCACTGATGCAGTTGCATAATAAGAAGTTTGTGAGTTGGTTTCGTGATCGAGTGATGGGTGGAAAGTACGAGAGTGTCACAGATACAGTAAGGTGGCTTGCTTATGGTCCTAGGGATGACGTTCACTCATTTGAGGGATATGACATAAATGGGTACACTTTTTGGACTGAGCGTCAGGATTTGAAATCATCCTCGACCCAAAACAGTGGTGTAACGCTTGTGGCATCGTCAAGGGAGTTTGCAAGTGCTAAGGATAAATCACCTGTTGATGCAGAGTTGTCATACTACGGTCGAATTCAAGAAATATGGGAGCTTGATTATTGTGACTTCACGATTGCTCTTTTCCAGTGTAAGTGGGTTGATAATATCAGTCGTAATGTCAAACACGATGACTTTACCCTTGTAGATCTTGGCCACCTGAATGAAAGTGATGAACCATTCATCCTTGCATCTCAAGCCAAGCAAGTGTTTTACGTAAGTGACCCAGCCGACTCAAAATGGTGTATTGTGCTAGCCGGCAAAAGAAGAATCCTTGGCGTTAGAGATGTCGAGGATGAGGAAGAATATGATGCGTTTGATGACTCGGCACCTTTCGTTGTTCCTAGACCTGTTGTACCAAATGAGATAGACGACCAAGCCAATTACATGCGATCAGACCACGACGAAGGAATATTAGATTGAGGTACTATTTTTTGTTATTTTGAAATTGTAGGCGTCGAAAGTATTATTAAATCACATTTTTAGGTGAAAATGAATGAAATTGCTAACTTACTTGCCCATATTTCTTATTTTCTTTTAAATGAATGAAGTAACTTCGTTCCCCATTTTCTATATTAATTTGTATTATAATTCAGCAATTTATATTTGATTATAAGTTTATAGTACCAATTTATTTATATTACAACTAATAACGTGTTATGTTTGTAATGACAGGTTTTTACATCTCATGGCGGACGATCAGTACCGTATTGTAGTCGAGGATGTACAGGACGACGATGATGATTCATCTGAGGATGGGGACGAGATGTATGATGTGAACAAGGAGCCTGATTTGGGTGAGGCAGAAGATCAGGCTCAAGATGTTTTGGATCGTATGCTTGATGAGTTTGAAATTGCAGCTGAACAAGCGCCTCCTATCGAGAATGCAATGTCTGAGTCGTTCGGCGAGGATCAAAGTGGAGGGGGGGTGAAGGGACCAGCGCAGAAAAAGCTGAGGGGTCCGACTACAAGTTTCAAGAAACCTGTCGGTCCAATGGTCTTGGAGTATGACAGGGTAGGACAACCTACAGGCAAATGGCGTCGTCAGTATGCTGTTCAAGTTGGGATTTGTGCGCGCAAAATTCCCATTACTCTTCGTTTGAGCGAAGTACCTACAGGCTTGATTGACACGTTTTGGAATGATACTAGGGTAAGTGTTTTTTTTGCACATTTACAAATTCCTTCATTTTATTGTTATTAAATGGGAAAACTAATAATGACTGTTATTTGTACTTGTAGAGTCTATTTAACATTCCAAATGAGTACGCCAAGCGAAGGGTGTTTGAATCCTTACTTGCGGCAAGATTCAGAGGCTTCAAGACCACCTTAGTTCGTCGGTTTATCACAAAGAAGCTTGTGAGAAAACCAAAGAACAAGAAAGAAGGTGGCATGGATGAAGAAGT